CAAAAGCACTTAATTAGCATAATGCCTGGTACTCAGTAAGTACTCAATAAATGTCAGCTGTTAGGCTCATGAATACTTGATTGAGACAGAACAAAACACTGGAATGGGAATGTGTCATAATGAAGTCAGCACATCTAAGACCTAACAGTGGCCCTGCCACTAATTCTCTAGGTGACCTTTGTTTAATCTTTCTCGGCCTCGATTACTTAATCTGCAAACTGATCTTAAGATCCCTTTTTTAAATATATGGAGGATCATAAGACACAGAAAAGATGAAGGGTTCAAAAACACTGGAGAAAATATGTAGATACATTAAGCACAAGAATACTTTTCCACTACATTCAAAGTTTAAGAAGAACTCAGATGCTAGTCAGTTGCATTTAAAAAATAAAGAAAACTCTCAAAAGAGTTTCCATTTTCAAGGGAAAAATGTAAATGATCAATATCATACCAAATCTTTAGCTTCATGAAATATGAAATCACAAACAACAAAAATAAGATAGAAGTTACATCTTACATTTATCTTAAAAAGTACACATGCTTAAGCCTTATCAGAAATCACTGGATGAAATGATCTTCTTCTGGAACATATGTAAGTGAAATGTAATATTGTCCCTTTCTGGGCAATCTTAGCTTTCTTAAATTGTTTTTCCAATGAAACTTAAAAATAAAATTGGTCCCATACCTACACCTTTTCACAAGATTATACATTTTTCAAGATTCTGTAAATTTTGTTCAAATTACTTTCCTTTTCCAGTTAAAAACCACAGACTTTTAACTGTCTTAAAATTATCTGAATGTATGGCTAGATATTCCCAAGTTTAGCCAAATTAAAGGGTATACACGGCCCTTGGAAAGAAAGACCCTGTTTATCTGGCTCTGCCCAACGTTCCTTGGTATTCCCATTTTGATAGTATTATACTCTTTGTAGTTCCATGATTGTCATGCTTTCTCATGAAAAACATAACTTTGCTTTCAACTTTGCTTCAGCTAGAAAATTCTTTCTCCTTCTATTCAATGATACACTCAAGTCTCACTCAAACAGTATCATCTGCAAAACTTTCCCTGATTACTCCCCACCATAGCTCCCAGACTGACAGGTCATATTAGACCCTCTTGATATTACTCCCATGGTATCTTGTATACATTGTCACTAAACTTATTATCTCTTTGCATTATTATGATTTTCTGTTACATCCATCTGAAGGCAGGGATCATGATTCTCATATTGCTCTCATCCTGGCACAGAATAAGCTAATGTTCATGTTTTTGAAGTGCCAGCAATATCATTGTTCTCAATGGATAAGCAAAACATTTAGCAAACAATAAAATATTTGCAGTCTTATACATTTTCATTTGTAGAGTTATTAATCTTACTCCATAACAAAGAAACATCATTGTGGTAACCAAAAATGAAGAGGAATCAGCACAAGAGTTAAAATAGAAAAAGAAATCATATTCTATAGTATCTCTCCCTAGATACCTTTTCTGGCACTGACAATGACATACAATATCATGAAATGCAGAAATGCTTCCAAGACTCCCAATAGATTATGGTCTTTAACGCAAATACATGGCAATCAAGAGTTTATCCTCCCTTTACTTTCCATGGACAAATAAAATACATGGCACAAAACCAATTTTTAAAAATAAACCCAAATAAAAATAAATCTTGTAGAACTCATCAGCAATAAAACCAGAAACACCGTTACCATTTAAATCTAATATAATGTCAAACCTCAATCCACTTAACATCAAGAATCATCAGGTTTAATACTTTTTCCAGAGTGACAACTAGCAATCTAATAACACGGCACTGTAAGTAAACACACCCCTGCAAAGTTTATCAGTGTACTTCAAATATTTGTATGAAGTACAAGTAGGAAAGAAAATTTCACATTGGCTTATAGAATAATTATAAAGAAAACAGGGTTGATTACAACTAAACTGAAACACAAAATATCCAACAATCTCAAACTATAAGCAGAAATAGTTTCAATTAGAAACTTAGTGTATCAGGAGAACACTCCTGGAAGTGAAATGGAAATTACAACAAGAACGCTTTCCAAAAAAGCATGCCATTTCTTTATGCACTTATTTGTTTCCATTTTATAGCTGTCATACTTGTTTACCTATAATGAAACATTGCCCTGCTCTTCTCATAGTAATCAAAACAATACAACAAAGCTAAAGAAAGAGAATGCATCCCCCAAAAGTTAAGATAATATTCTGGGGAGATGCAATTAGAAATATTTTCAAGTTCTGAGTTCCAGTGACCTCTAATCAGTGAACAGGATAAAATGTATAAGTTCATATAAAATTTAAAGCATATTTAAATTTTTTTGCTTTGATTTGTAGGACAAAGACTTTAGAATTCATAGACTTACATATATTTTGGGATGTCAAGAATGGAGCTTGGGGGCCTTTCTTCATTACTTGAAAAATGAAAGGGAACTTTTAATCACATTTTAGAAACTTTAATTAAATTTTGAAATACCTTATTAGAAATTCTTCCAATGAGGAAAAATACTTTTCACTGTAGTGTATACCATATACATATATAGTATTTATATATTTATGCTACATAAATACATATATGATATTTCTTAGGAGAAAAAACATATAACATGTCTTGAGTATATCTATTAAATATAAATCAATTAAAACTCCACTGCAATTACTACTGCTACCACAGAAATAGTTCCACAGAATGACACAGAGGAACACAGTTCTGTAGAACAAGTCACTTCTATAAAAAATTCAACACAAAGAATGATTTACTTTCTCAATATAGAGTCATGTATTGGTGAGGTACCAAAAAGGAAGAGAAAAAAATTGAATTCATCCAAAAGAACATTTATGTTAAGTTTGAAGAGGAACAAAAGATCACTGGCTAGGGATATCATAAAATTCATCCAGTAATCATGATTAACAAGAGAAATAAGAATAGCAAATAGTTTAGAAGGTATCAGTGGAAGTGATTATAGAAAAATATTATATTGTTGTTATAATATAGCTAGTAAGGAAAATCGTATCAAAAATGTATTTATGAAAATAAAGACAAAAAGAAAATAGTCTACGTGACAGATGACAAATTTGGAGTTTTTGTGTTAATGCTTGTCAGCACCCTGACAGATGTGACTAATCGATCACTGGACTCTTCGTCACTTATCCTGGAATCCTTCTCAATGCACAACACAGACAGCCACTACCAATCACTGAAAGTCGGCACTGAAACCTATTTGTCAAAACTGCTCTAGCAACATTGTTCAAGATGTTCAACGAGGAACCTTACCCCCAGGCAAATTCTAGGATATGTGATCAAGCACGGCTTGACTTTCAAAAATTTGGAAATGCATGAAAATTCTTAAAAACCAAAACGGGAAAATAAAATTACAGCAGATAATGTTATGATTCTGTAAGTGGGATAAATTTTTAAAAGCTAACTGCCATCGGCAATTTAGAATGGTTTCAATTCCACTTAAAAAAATACAATCATCCATTTGCGAGAACAGCAATCACTAAAGGCAGCAAGAAATTGAAACAACAGTTCCCTCAACCACAGCACACCAGAAATTAAAGACTGTTACTGGTAACCGACATTAAAACAGTTTCAAGAATGTGTATTTATTATGGCTTAAAGCTATAAATAGTCTAAGAGTTAAAAAAAAAATCTGAGACATGATAAAAACTGCAGTAGAGAATGTGATACCCAAAGTAGCTTTAACACCTGAGCAATCAAAATTATAGGTTTTCTCTAAATAAATGGCAAAATCCTTAATTGTTACTTTTAACATGAAGTAATGAAATTAGTGATAATGCAATTCTTGTCCAAAATCAATTTTTTTAGTCTTCACAAATATATATTACAATGTGATTTGACCTACAATCATTGAAAGTAAATACAGTCTATATTCATAGAAAGTAAAACAGGAATATGATAGTAGCTTAGTTTTAGTTGAATTTCCAGAAAAATAGTATCCCTATTGAAATGTATTTTAAAACACATGTGACTGTTGAACCATATTTGAAACATAACCCATAATTTTAGTTTCAGAATAAAACTGAACACTAAGCAAAATTTGGGGGGGGGGAATTAAGTAAAAAACATTCATTGAGATCAAATAAATGTATATTTAAGGTACATATAACTTTGTTCTGCTGCAATTCTATGTTGTACAATCTCATAAGAATATGAAGTCAAAGCCTGCATAATGAAGCACATGAGAGAAAAATATACCTCAATAACCAACCAGCTTAAAGTTCACAGTGGTTCAATCTGACAATGAACCCTCCCCATGTTAAACAGTATCATGTGCTGTTTCAAGCAATAAAAACTACACCAAATCCCCCACTTTATTTTGCTTATATACACTTAGCCATATTTAGGATCTGACATGAATTCTGCAAGAGATCTTAATTTGTATTCACACTTAGCAAAAAAAGATTACTTTCAGCTACAAGCAGCTAAAACCACAATCTATAAAGCATTAAAACCAACTTGCTGGTCTTGATGTAACTAGAGAAAGTTTGCTAAAATCTCCTTTGAAATAACTAGTGTGCTCAAATCTTTTACCCTTGGCCAAATTCAGTCATGAATTGTTTTACTAGTAGGATTTTCTGTAACTTCATAAGTAATTTCTTTGAAAAAGGAGAATAAGTAACACATGAAACAATCTTATTTGGCTGTAAGTTTGTAGCTGCTTATATGACTAACTTGTGGTATATCTTATCACTGTGCTATTCATGATTATAATAAAACAAATTTTAATTAGTAAGTCATTGTCTAATGAGGTATACTTACCCCAGGAAGACAGAAAACAAGTGTTTCTGTAAACTAAGTAAGCAACTGTCAAAGAATGCTTTCACACAAAATATGAAAACCAACAAGAAAATACATGTTTTGTGAAAGAAATTCACTGCTTTATGATAGCAAGTATATCAGTTTTCTAATACCCTATTAATAAAACTGGAAAATGTTTTAAAAATATTCTCCTTACCTGTGTATACAGTTTTTACTCTCAAGATAGGCCATACCAGAAGCAGCATCTAATGAAAATTTCACTAATTGTTTGAGTTTTATTTCATCCTTCTTCTTTCTCAGAAAGGAGAGGAAATCACCTCCTAGAAGAATTGACAGATGAACAATGAGACAAGATCATGATGGAAGTCATATTTTTCACCTATTAGAGATACCTGACAGAACAAAAAGCATTACACATTTAACCATAATTTTGCCCATTTCATTTAAGGTGAGGATAAAAGAAAATATGAAAAGAACACATCTTATTAGAAAGCAGACACCATGAATTTTCTTAGATGCAGTTTAAGTACTTTAAGTGCTTCACACTGTATACTACCCTACACATAATAATATTCAAAGTCATACAAAGACAGACTTTCCTCTGTCACAATTTCTCACCAATTTGCCTGGATAAAGTTTTCTAAGAAATTTTATTTTCTCTAATACCAAATAAAAGATTACAATTATTATGAGTTAAAAAAGTAAATGATTAACACCACCATCACTAATAGTAGAGTCAGACAGGAAAAAAAAAGACTATGATTTTGATAAGATTTAGTTCCTGAGTCAGACTGCATTTTTTGTGCATCAAATGAATTCCAGTGATGACTTAGAGAAACTCCATAAAACAGCATGGTCCAAAAAAAATGTAATGCAAGCCACATAGTAATTTTAAATATACCGGTAGCCACATTTTAAAAAGTAACAACAATAAAAAGGTGAAAGTGACTGAAATAGTATGTTTTTTCTTTAGCCCAATATATATTAGCCCCAAAATATTATTAAATCAACATGCATCATTACAAAATTATTAAAATTACAAAATTATTGTGGACATATTTTACGGTTTACCATCCTAAGTCTTTAAAATATGTTGTGTATTTTACATGTATGGGACATCTCAATTTAGATGCAAATTTCCATCTGAAGCATTTGATATGTATTTAGATTTCATCAAATTTACAGTTAAAAAAGTAGATTCACATACCTAGGTTGTTCCAAACATACTTAACCTTTTCTAATAACTGAATCATGTTACTGGAAATTAAATTAAATTTTAAATTTTAAATCAATTAAAATTAAATGAAATTCAAAATTCAGTTTTTTAGAAGCACTAGATACATTTCAAAAATTCAAGAGCTCAGGAGCCACATATGGCCAGTGACAACCATGTTAAATAGGGTAGCCTTAGACTGCATTCACTAACAACAGCATGGCATTAAACAATTTCCTTGTTAATGTACAGTGTAATGTATTGCATTATTAAACAAAACAAAACAAAACCAAGTTAAAGTATATTAGAATGAGTGTTCTCTAAAAACAGTCATCCCTACTTTCTCTTTCTATTAGGCCCTCCGATATTAAGCCAGAATTTTGCAAGAGGGATTGTCTTTTCCTGATGTTTTTCATCCTCTTCACCAGGGATCTAGGCCTCCTTAAATAGAACAACTCTAGAGATGAAGACTTAATGGCTTTTTCTTTAATGAGAATACCTAGAAAATAAACAACTGCCTAACTCTCCTTAGAAAGTTCTTTTTCTAATCTCTTCTCCTATTCACAAATCAGTATTACAGAAATTTAGGTGGACTATTTGCAAAATCACTAAGCTATATGCGTTAAAAATAATCTTAATGGTGTCAGATAATTTACTTTTTTTCCTGTTCTTTTAAAGAGAATATCAAATTTATTACTATGAACATTACTGAAATAGCTTCTATCAAGCTTGACTTAATTTTCTGAAACAAAAACACCTAAATGCAACAGTAAACAGCAAAATTACCACTAATTTCTCAACTTTAATAGGTACAAAAAATGTCTATTAAAATGGACTTGAAATCAATATTTAGTTCAAGTTACTTCCTGGACCAATATTCACATATATTAGTTATTTTGTTAGATATACATTGGCCTAGTTTAGAAAAAGTGCACCCTTCTGGTCTTGAAACCACATAGCATTTTTTCTAAGCTACGGGAATAATTTTCAAATGAAAAAATCTTTTCTGCAATTTGACTAAAGCATATGACATAACCCCAGTGTTCTGCGGAATCCTAATATTATTTCTTTCCAAAACTAGCTCTCATTCAGCACTTTTCCTTCTGCCTCCTGCTCTTTTTAAACTAGTCTTTCACATAATCCTCTTCATACCCCCAATCCCCGGCCCAGCCTGTAAACCCTGTGAAGAGAACTGCGCTTCTGTTGTTCAGCATGCTAATTTCAGTGCCCACCACAGGATGTCTAGCATGTAATAATACCTCAATAAGCATGAAGACAAGCTACCCATGAAATTTTTTATTAATTTTAAACATTTCTTCCTTAGCTTCTCTCCAATGGTTAGAACTATGCTTTTCAAGTACTTGTTAAATGTTAAAATAATGTTTAGAAAAGGATGACATTACATCGCTTATCAATGGCACCTGACAGATGCCGTAAAATTCTTTAGATTCCAACAATAAAACTTAGTACATTTAAGACTGAGCTCATCTTGATAGATGCTTCTGTAACACCACTGCCTTACAAACTGCATCATTTAAAAAAATAATTTGCAAAGAAGCAATCCTCAATAGATAAGACTGTAAACCAACAAATGCACACTAGATTAATAAGCAAAGACAACACTTAAATAGAATTAAAGAATGGCTGAAAAGTGATGCCAAGTCAATAAAGATAAAGTACTAGGAAGGTAGAGTTAGATACAGCTATCAGAATACTGTGACACAGCCAAAGATACAGTCAAAGGGTATCTGATTGTCTCTTAGTTAATCCAAGACTATTTCTACCTTAGAGAAATTTCTTGCTTAAAATCACTAAATCATTAAAGTAAATTTTAAATTTATTTCCAATTTATAGTTATTCATGCCACAGACACAGTGATCCTAAGTAAAGTAGCAGAGCTGCACCATTCCACAGCCCTAGTCAGCTTCCTGCAGAACACTGTCAAGAAGCAAGGTCTTCAGGAAAAAAATTAAATAATTAGCATTCAGTACGGAAAGCCTAAGCCTTGGGCGAGTGTAGCCATTAAGGACCCTGAAGCAAAAAGTAAACTCTCCAAAGGACAGACTATGAGACTAAAGCTAGGATACCAAGAAAATAATTCAGACTGGGCCAGAAACACTTCCTGGGGACTTTACCTGATTATTATCATTTAGTGAAGAAGAACTGGAGACTGACCTCAGATGATATGATCTTTAGTGTTCACTGTGAGGTTACTATAGAAGATAGTGTCTGTTTCTTTGAACTCATTCTTTTGTCATTTTCACTGTGGCAGTTTAAAGAACCTCTCTGAGAATGTGTGATACATACAATAATCATATGTGCAGCACATGTGTATATATGTTTGTATATGTATGCGTGTATGTGTGTAGCTGGAGTACCCCACCTGACCACTGCAATAAGATGGTGGTGTTCATAACTGGGTAAAACAAGATAATAACTCCCCCTTTGTAACTCTGTCTTACCAAAGCTTATTTCTGTATGGCACATTAAACCAAGACAGGATGGATTATTTTCTAGAATTCTTCACCAGTGATGAATTTCTAAGACAATTCTTAGCATGTTTTTATAGCCAACTTTTAGTTTACTAACGAGACAGCATTACATGGTGAAAGGAACATGGATATTGAAGTCGTGCTGATCTAGGTCTGATTGAAATGGAGCAGGCCCTATGGTCCTTGCCTCACCCCCCTCGCCCCATGTCCTCAGCCTGCCTTTTGTCTGTGGAAAAACTTTAGCTAAAGAATAAGTTTAATCAGAGAAGTGAGAAAATGCAGAAACAGAGGAAAACAGTCACAGGAGACCAAATAATAATAGTTTAGTCATTAAGCATAGTCGAGGACCTTTAGTTCCTCCTTAAGGGCTGTAGATAAGATTCTGAGCCTTATCCTGTGAGCTGTCTTATAGATACTGAAACCGCCACCAAGTGGAAGAAGTTAACTACATGATGGCTAGGCTGTGGCCATGACATAAGCTGCCGCAATACCGAGAATTGGCCTCAAAGAAATGGAAACAAACCGAGCCTGGAACTGAAGATTAACTGTACCTAGGACAATCAAGATGACACTGTCAGACTACCAATGACCAATTTCAGGATGACTGTCAGAGCTGACTGTATTGTTTCCGCATGTAGCCCCCTCCCTCTGTCTATAAAAGCTCTTGCCCTCTGATTGTCGGGGCGGCAAGTGGGGGAAGTCGGCCTTTGGACAGGTGTCCACCCCCGCCTCCACCCTGGTTGCCGGCATCCAAAATAAAGCAAACTTTCCTTTCCCCCAACTTGGCCTCTTTATTGGCTTTTGAGCGGCGAGCAGCTGGACCCCACTTTCGGGTACCTGATTAGCTATGTGACCTGGGGTAAGTTGTTCAATCTCTCTAAACTTCTTTAAAACAAAAGGATTAATTCCTTTTATTTCTCAAGATGGTTTTGAAGACTAAAATGTATCTAAAGCACTAAGCATATGCCTAGCACATGGTACACACAATAAACACTACAACTTATCATTATTTTTGTTGAAGTTATTTTGCATATAAAATAAGGAAGAGTTGTAGCAGGGACTGGTTGTTTGTCGCACAACATCAATTTTCCCTCATTCATCTCAATTTCCTTTAGGAGACTGCCCTTCTCCCATTTTGGAAAGTATTTACCTCACCTCAACAATAAAGGTGATCCTAGATTCGCTTAACCCGATCAATGGAGTCCATTTCCCAGTGACTGGCTCGGGGATAGGCACATAGTTTAATTTAGGCCACTGAGATACAAGGAGATACTTTAAAGGGTGAAATAAACTTTTTTTTTTTTTTGAGAGAAGTACCAGGAAAGAAGCATTCTCTGCAAGTGGAAGTGTACAGGACAGCACGTAGCACCACAAAGACTGGCAGCCTTGGGATGAAGCTATCACCATGGAAAGCAGAAAGAGTAAAGGAAAAAGAATACTTTTTGATGACATGTTTGATCCACTGGATCACATACTGCGTCAAGAGTGATTTCCCTCTAGATTTTCCAATTAAGTGAACGAATAGCTCTAAGTTTTTTGATATACATCCCGTATTGGCACTCAAAGATTCCTTATGGATAAAATAGTATCTATATTAGAAGACCTTGAGAATTAA